TTGGTTCTTTGCCCCTTCTAAGGAGTGCAATATGATTATGGCCATCCCACAAAGGTTTCAGGCCAAACCAAACCAGCCAAATAACTTGGCAGGTGATGTTGAAGATTTGACAGAACCAGCTGTTCAGATAGCAATAGTTGAGACACAGGCCAAGCCATTGAGATCAATCGAGGTCATTAAGTTTGTCGATGGAAAGAAAGTTTTACTTCAAAAACCAGAAGATAAGCTTATTAAGCATCTGAGGTCTCTGGATGTTAAAGGTTTTTTGGATGGGGTACCAGTGGAAAAGGTGTTGGTAGACAATGGAGCTATTGTCAACATTCTCCTATCTAGGACACTGAAGGCTATTGGTAAGTCTGTCGATGACTTACTTCCTACTGAGGTTAATATAAGTAATTTTTCTGGTGGATCATCTGAGGCTAGTGGAGTAGTAGCTTTACAGCTTCAAGTTGGTTCCAGATTAATGGGAACAACTTTCTTTGTAATAGACTCCACTTCTAATTACAATGTGCTTCTAGGTAGGGATTGGATTCACCTTAATGGGTGTGTGCCTTCATCTCTACACCAAGCATTAATTTTTCTAACTGGTGGTGGTCAGAATAAAAAAGGAATGGAAATCTTCTAGGCTGATGCAAATCCTTTTGTGGCTGATGTTAACAACATAGAGGCTGTGCTGTATGATGAGAATTTGGGCCCAGTAGTGATTGATAAAGAAGAAGTCAAATCGCAAGGAAAAGGCTTAACAACTGAAAGGTTCAAGGCCTTCATTGAGGAAGGTTTTAAGCAGATAGGCCAGGAATTGGCCAAACCAAGCCTGATGCAGAAGTAGAAGAGGCCTGTGATAGAGGAAATTGCTGAAGGTGATGAGTGATACAAGTGCAAGTAACAGAAGAAGACAAGCTGGATGAGACAACAGATGTAATTAGATTTACTTTTTCTAGACTTTTTAATTTCTTTTTAGAAAGTAAGTTTAGCCCTAAGTGTTTGCCTAATTGTTCTTGGGCAGAATGTGTAATCGACAGTAGCCCTCTAAGTTATAAAGAGGTGCAACTGGAACATCTGAAGACAGCTCCTGCCAAACTTGATGATCTCAAGGCAGATGTGCAGGACCCGTTAGAGGAATATAACTTAGGAAATAAGGCCTGTAAGAGGCCCATTTATGTACATGCTAATCTATCTAATGAATGTAAGAGCAAACTAGTTAGTTTGCTTTCAGAGTATGTGGATTGCTTTGCATTGATGTATGAAGAAATGCCTGGATTAGATAGAACATTGGTGGAGCATAGACTCCCAATTAAAGGAAATTTTATTCCTCATAAACAACCCCCAAGAAGGATGACTAATGAGTCACCTTATTGGTCAAGGAAGAGATCGAAAGGTTACTCAATGCAGGTTTTATTAGAACAACCAGGTATGTTGAATGGCTGTCTAATATTGTCCCTGTAATGAAGAAAAATGGTAAGTTAAGAGTGTTTATAGATTTTAGAAGTTTGAATCTAGCAACTCCTAAATATGAATATCCTATGCCAGTGGCTGATCTGTTAGTTGATTCGGCAGCCAAGAGCAAGGTTTTGTCCTTTATGGATAGACATGCTGGGTATAATCAGATCTTTATTAACCCAGAGGATACACATAAGACAGCATTTAGATGTCCTGGTGCCTTAGGGACATTTGAATGGTAGTCATGCCTTTTGGATTAAAGAATGTAGGAGCAACTTATCAAAGGGCAATGAACTTCATTTTCTATGATTTGATTGGAAAATATTTAGAAGTTTATATAGATGATGTAGCCATCAAATCTAACAGTTTTGATGAGCATCCAGAACATTTGCAGCAGACATTTCAAAGAATGAGGACATACAAACTCAAAATGAACCCTTTAAAGTGTGCATTTGGGGTATCTGTTGGAAATTTCTTAGGATTTTTAGTACATCACAAAGGAATAGAAGTAGATGCTAACAAAGCCAAAGCCATTTTGGGGGCAAGACCTCCAGCCAACAAGAAAGAGTTGCAAAGTTTTCTTGGAAAAGTATATTTTTTGAGGAGATTCATAGCTAATTTGGCCAAGAAAACTTTAGCATTCTCTTCTTTAGTGAAAATTAAGTCAGACCATGAGTTTAAATAGGAAGTGTGCCATCAAGAAGCTTTTGACTTGCTCAAAAAATACTTGACAAACCCTCCAGTGCTTATGCCACCAGTGACAGGAAAGCCTTTGAAATTGTATATATCAACTTCTGACTTGTCGATTGGTTGTTTATTGGCTCAAGAAAATGATATGGGTCATGAACAAACTATTTACTACCTAAGTAGAAGGTTAAATGATGCTGAAATTGGATATAATTCTGTTGAGAAATTGTGTTTGGCACTTTATTTTGCAGCCATTAAATTGAGACATTATTTGCTGCCAACAGAAGTGTTTGTGATAGCACAAACAGATGTTATTAAATATATGTTGTCTAAACCAGTTTTAAGGAGGAGATAGGGTAAATGGATATTAGCATTAATTGAGTATTGTCTCAAATATGTGCCACAAAAAGCAGTCAAGGGGCAAGCTTTGGCTGATTTCTTGATGGAACACCCTGGCACTTCTGTCGATTTAGACCTATATGAGGTCAATTTGGTGGAAAGTAAACCATGGAAATTGATGTTTGATGGTTCAAAAACAGATGAAGGAATTGGAGCAGGTTGTGTTGATTACACCAAATAAGCAAATGTATCAGTTTGCATATCAGTTGGAAGCACAACATGTATAGTCTTGTAATCAAGCTAAATATGAAGCCTTGATAATTGGCTTAGAATTGGCCATAGAATTCAGGATTAGAAGCCTCTAGGTTTTTGGAGATTCCCCAGTTAGTCATTAAACAAGTTTTGGGAGAGTTCAAATGTGTCAGTGGTGCTCTAGAAGAGTATCTAATTGAGGTCAAATGGTTAACTAGTTTCTTTGACCATATCACATTCACACATAGGTTTAGACTGGAGAATAAAGAGGCTAATGAGATGGCTCAAGTAGCTTCTGGACTAAAATACCTAAAGGGGCTCAGGAAAGGGTGATTTGAATTCAGAAAAGAAACTTTTCTGCACTTAAAAATAGGTGTAGGAATTTCCTACCTATTCTCACTTTGGATGTGATAGAAGAAGATTGGAGATTCCCTTTAATAAAGTACCTATTGAATTCCAATGAAAAAAGCAGTAGGCAGGTGAGGTTTCAAGCCTTAAACTATGTTGTCATGGGAGATGATTTGTTTAGGAAGGCTCATGATGGTTTGACTCTGCTTTGTATTGGTAAATTAGATCAAATGAAAGCGATGGCTGAAGCACATGAAGGAATTTGTGGGGCCCATCAAGCTGGTGATAAAATGAGATAGCTAATTAACATGTATGGATATTTTTGGCTATCCATTAGAAAAGATTGCATAATGTATGCAAAAGGATATCAGAGTTGCCAGAAGCATGGCAATATTCAATGGGTACCAGCTACCAGCCTGCATTCAGTGGTTAAACCTTGGCCTTTTAGAGGATGGGCAATGGATTTAATTGGGCAAATTTTCCCATCATCTTCTAAAGCACATTCTTACTTATTGGTAGCCACTGACTATTTTACTAAATGGGTAGAGGCAATACCTTTAAAAGTGGTGACACAGGTCCAAGTTATTTAATTCTTGAAAAAGAATTTGATACATAGGTTTGGTTTACCCCAATCTATCACTGTCGATCAAGGTACAATGTTCAATGAGGATGAGATTAAAGAGTTTGCCAAAGAATACGGCATTCAGATATTAAACTCTTCACCATATTATGCCCAGTCAAATGGACAACATCAAGAATAGTAGGTGACATCATACCACATTTTAGAATGAGGGAATTACATGATGAAGACCAAAAACATGTAGCAGCACTAATGGCCCATTTGTCCATATTTAGAGAGGAAGTTGATAACCTGATGGCATCGTAAATACCTAAAGCTCTCCAGAGATCAATGTCGTATATCATCATTCGTTGGACCCATCATTTCCAGTCTGGATTAGGTCTTTGCCATATGTGTAGAGGATTAGGGCTGGAATCCCAATGGTTCCATGATAGCTTTGCTTTGTTGAAGAGTAATGTTTCAGTGTCTGCAATAGGATAGTACTGGGTAAGCTCATCAGGAATGATTACATTGAAAGTAGGGCCCAGTTCTCCTTTTGCAGAGTTGCTATGGCGTGGGATAATACAGCTGTTAAAGATGTTTTGACGCAGTAGCTGCTGAAAATTGATTGGAAAGCGTGGTACAGGTGGTGACTCAGTTTGTTTCTTTCCTTTGACCTGACCTCATATGGGCGCCATTAGAGAGTGTGAGCAGAAGGGTTTTTCGAAGTCAGAGGGTTAAAGAAGCAAATAGCAGAGAGAGATAGAGAATAGTGAAATGGTGATTTGAATTCTGGCATTCAAATAGCTTGTAGTGGGCCTTTTTAAGTTTGGGCTTTATTTGATAGTTTGATCAGTTGGGCTTACTCAAAGTTCTGGGAATTTATGTTGGACTAATTTTTAGCATTTGGGCCTTATTACAAATTACAGATAAACAACCCAAATATTTAAATGTCCAACTTTATTTCTTTTAAATAATCATTCAAGGCAAAAACTCCTTTTTGTCTTGAATGAGGGGGGCATTGTTGACACTAAAAATTGTATATTCTCTGTCGATTGTATGTAACAAATGTAGAGAATTGGTCCAGCGGATGCTAGGTTTAAAGAACACAAGTTTCCACAAGTTTACAAGTGAAAAACGAGTGAATATGAAGCCTAGAATACAGAGCAAGTGACAGAAAGGAAATAGTCAAATCGACAGACGTGGCAATTGCAGTTTTCCTGTCGATTCGTCTAGTAATAGAGTGGAATGTGGCCAAACATGGCCCAGGCGTCAAGCCATAAAATTAGCATACAAGGCATATAGGATATGTGTCATGTTTCCTAGAAGGAGAAAAGCTGCAACAGAGAAGTAGTTACTGGCAGTTGTAGAGATCATGGACATTGAAGTGGAAGTAACTGGCTATATGATGGGACACGTGGCAGCGAAACAGCAGTGGAGTTTGAAGACCAGTAATATAAAAGTTGGGAATTCGAAGTTAGAAGGATCTTCAACAAATTTATAACCCTTATAGCATTAGGAGTAACTTAACTTAGTTAATTCTTACTTAGGAGTAGTCTATCTGTAGTTCAGTTTCTGTAACTAAGAATTCTCTGTTGATTGTCTTGTACATTGAACTGGAAGTTTAATTTTACTGATTAAATTCCAAGTTTGTTTGTTCAACAATTGATTTTCAATTTATTCCTTCTTGTTTCTTCGCATTACAACCTCCAAAGAAGTTCTTGAATCTGTCAATGCATAGGACGTTCAGACTATAAATTGCTTGATTTGTTGTTATTTGTAAAAGTTTGGCTTCTCTGTCGAATCACCCCTGTCGATTTGGCCTAGACCAGATTTTTTGCTAACAATACTACAAAGGTATATTAAATTGCAAGACAGCTCCAGAGTATTCGAACTATCTGCCACCCAATGTTGAGTGCTTGATCACTAATGCAAATCCTGAGTACCCAAGTGCTGAGGGATAGACTCATAGACTCTTGTAATGGCCATTTTATGGGTAAGGGTTGTTTTGTTTTGTGACACTTGCTTTTGGGGCTCTTCTTACCCCCCCAAAAATTCAATACAACCGTGATACCACGTGTGCACGATGAGGTGGTATTATCGTTGCATTCATGTTTTATTTTTGGTTTACAGATTGTTTGGTATATAGTTGACGCATGTTTTAAAGGTTTTTTTTGGAAATACAAAGATTATAGGAGCCGGGAGGTCGGCGATTTGTGAGGAAATATTAAAGGGTTGTAAATCTCACGTCAATCTGTCAAAATCTATAACATTTCAATAGAATATTTACTTGTTCATTGGGGATGAATGTTGTCTCTGTTATTCGATTTTGTTTTGGCTGCTGCACTCTTTTGGGAGATGAATTTGGGAATTACTTTCTTTTTTCTTTTTTTCACTCTCTCTCTCTCTGTCAATACCTTTCATGTTTTTAGTATGACTGATTTTTTTGTTTTGGATTTTTTTATCACTTTTAAGAGGTATAGTTAGAATTATTGAGTCTTTTACCAAACCCAAGTTATATTGGAAATAAATGAGTTATTTTGATCTTATTTTCCATTTCTTTGTAATCATGGCTGAAGGTCACAGAAGTAGCGGCTCTATTTGATTTGAATTTTAGAACTTGTTTTCAATTTTTTTTTTTTAAAAAATAAATTAATTAATATGATGAAAAAAAAAATGCTCGTCATTTTCATATAATTTTATCTTTTGAAGATGAAGACTAGAAATAATTTCTTCAAATATAAAATTATCTTTTTGGTGTTTATTTTTATCAAATTATTTTATATTTTATTCAAAAAAAATCCAGAAAATAGTTTATGAAAATCAAATCAAATAGTGCTTGTTTTTAATAATACTATTTCAAAAAACAACTTGAGTATGAGAAATAAGTTTAAATAACTCGGATAATCTATTTAAAATTGGAATGGATCTGATAAATAACTTTAGAATTCAATATGAACCCAAGTTGCATGGAAGAGATTTGAACATTTAAATCCATTTACAATATTAACAATGATAGCGATATTAACACATTTATTAACAATTTTACCAGCACACTCACATGTTTTGATAAGATTAACTATCACGGATTAGTCGGCCCGAAGGGTCGGATACCGGATGGCTGGACCAAAAAAAAAAAAAAGATGATGAGCAACTCATCATGGGCAACTCCTCTACTGCAAAAGTTGCAGGACAATGGAAGATTGTGCCCAAGATGACTCCTTAGGCACATCCATAAATCATTCAATTCCATTTATGTAAATTCACAAATCATTCAAAGCCATTTATGGTTACATTCATAAATCATTCAAGTACATTCACAAATTACAAAGAAATATTATGAAAATGTTAGAAACTTCAAATGAATTAAATATTCTATACAATACTTGAGTGTTGGACCTTACCACTTGAAACTTTATTGTATAAAATATTTATGAAGATGGAAGGTCTCACATTTTGTATCTATAAATACTAAGAAAATAGACCAGATAATATCGTCAACAAATATATCATTTCTCTACACAAAATGGCAATGTGGATCTCTCAAAGATTGTTCTGTCTTTTTTTACTTCATGCCATCCTTATAGTATCAATCCAATCCTCTGCTTCAACTTCACAGAAAAACAGTAATTTGACTCGCCAAACGTGCAGGTGCACCAATAACTTCAACCTCTGTGTCACATCTCTAGAATCAGACCCTCAGAGTTTGAAAGGAGATGTCAAAGGGCTCGCTCGCATCAGTCTTCAACAAGTCCTGGTTAAAGCTAACCAAACATTACAGACTGTAGGAAAACTGTTTAATCAAACCCATGAGTTCGAATTCTTAGGAACATGTATTGAAGAATACAACAAAGCTGTGTCAATTGAACTACCAGGAGCAGTCATTGCATTGGATTCCAATGACTGTGGAGAATCAAAATAAGGTGCAGCTAATGTTAAGGACGATGCCAACCTGTGTGAACAGCAGTGGGTGAGCGGATCACCGGTCACCAATCAGAACCATGCTGTTCGTGACCTCTGTATGGTGGCCTTTGGCATTATTTCTATACTGGCTTGATTATTTGTATACTCTTTTCTCTATATGTTCACGGTCAAGTTTTAGTGCTTCATTGTCTTCTTTAGCAAATTAGCCGATTGCTTTTGCAATTTTACATTAAAATTTTTGAATGGTTTAATAATTGTGGGGCGGCTTGATGAAAAAAAAAAAAAAAAAACCATCTAATTAATAGTTTTGAACAGTTTGATGAATGAGTGAAATTCAGTATTGGAAATTCAGTAGTGATTATATCCATGGTAAATGGGCTTTTGAAGTCCTTATTGGTACACGTTGAATGACAAAATTGAACATTGGTTGTGAATTTAGTATTACTGAATTTCTAAAATAAAAAATTTGTATGTAGACATTAATATTTAAAATCATTTTTCAACTGAGCACATTCAACATTTAACTAATTAGTTTGATCCTTTTATCGGGCCAAAAAATTGAAGAAGCTTAAATTAATTATATCAATTTATATATTACAAAGGTATATTAGACTATATATTAGTTTACTTCACACACACAAAATAAATAAATAAATAAATATTGTTCTATCAAATAGAAGATAAATGGATGAAAAATTTACTTGATTTTGAATTTATGTTTACTTTTACGAATTAACTTTGACATGAAAAGAGCACTTCTAACAATAAATTCATTAAAAAAATTGATTACTGAATCAAAACTTGAGAAAATATCAACCTTAAAAAACAACCATAATTTAATAAATAAAGAGTAATATTAGAGCAACTCAAACCTCGCTCTTCATTTTTCACTAGCTAAAGTATAAAAAAGATAAGCTCTTTATTTTAGGTCTATACAAACATATTTTTTAGTTTATGTTTTTAAAAAATTTCAAATATTTTGTTTTAACCAAACGCATTTGTAGTTTATATTTTTCTAAAAATAAATAAAAATAAATAAAAATCAGTTTACGTTTTTTTTGTAAACATAAATAAAAAACGTAAACGTTACCTAAATGAGCTAGTTTATATTAAATTATTTTAAATACATAACTCGTCTTGACCCAACCAAATCGATCCATTTGCTTCGTCTATTCTAACCATGGACTCATGGTCCTCAATTGGGTTTAATTTGGCCCAAATTTGTAATTGAAGTAAGACATTTTTTATTAAATTCAAAATTTATTAAAAAATATAATATAAAAATTTGAAGTGTACTGGGTGTCGCTATAATTGGTTAGAATCACATTTTGAATAATGTAGGAATTATGAAAAAGATATTATTATGAAATATTTCATAAAAATTTTGCACCCTTAAATTACACATATACCATAAACTACCATATACCATAAACTAACATATCATAACAGCCCATAACATAACTACCATATACCATAACAAATCGTCCTCCTAGCATAGAACACCTTTGAATTACACCAATACACTAATAAAATAAAAAAAACTCTTCCTGAAATTACTCTGATAATCATTGCAACTAAATACAAAATTATATCCGTTAGACTCCATATATCTTCACTTTCTCTCTCTCTCTCTCTCTCTCTCATCTTCTATCCCCGTTGCTCACAGTAAGTTTCTCCTTTCTATCTTCTCTTTTCGGTTGAATTGCAGAATCCCTTAAAATACCTTTGAATTCCTGAAAATATTCTGATAATCATTGCATTAAAATACAAAATCATATCCGTTACTGGACTCCATATATCTTTGCGTGCTCTCTCTCTCTCTCTCTCTCT